GTCCGGGGGAAGCTCTGTCACCTGCGCGGCCGGGCGCCGCGGGGTCTCCAGGCTGCGGCCCCCCTGCCTCACTCCTGCCTGTCTCAGGAGCGCGGTCCGCATACGGTTTCCCTTGACGAAGTGGCGTGGCCGGGCCTGGCCGCCCTTGTGCGTCCCTCTGACCGCCTCTGGAAAAGCTGCTAGGCTGCGCGGCCCTCTGCCCACCTCGCCTTAAGCCAGTGGCAAGTGCTCTCTGCTCCTCTCCTTCCTGGCCACCTCTACATTCTGGTGTGTCAGTACTGACAGGTTCCGTTTTCTTTCTGTGCACTAATTTGCAGTAACTGGCACTGAATTCTCTTTGTCACTTAATTACAAACGGTGTCCTTTTGTACAAACAAGCTCCCATTTTTCCTAGCTGCCAAAAGCAGCTGTCACTCAGGGCCTCTTGCAGCTTTGCAGTTTGTGCTGAGCCATGCACTCCCTGTGCCTTGGTGTGACTAAGCTAGTAAAGAGCCAGCTCCTTGCATACATCCATGAAATTTAGACCCAGAATTGCCAATATTAAATAAGTGACTTAAATACAAGTCTGACTTGTCTTTATAGTGCCCTTAACCTAAATTAGCATTTTCAATGGTATTTTTAATGAAACCACAGATAGTGGGAGACTCTCTCCATGAATCCTCCTTACTTTAGAGCCATTTATTGTTAAAGGTGTGGGAGCCATACACCTCCATTCAAAGATGCATCTATTTATGTCAGGATGTCAGGTCTGCTGTTCAGGGAAATGTTTTGTGCCAATGTCTAGGTACTGACGTAAGGCTAAGTCTGGTTCTAGAACATTTTTCATGTCTAGTATTACACTGGATATTTTTATATGTTATGAGCTGTAGGTCAATCCTAAGTGACTGCTTCCAGTTACTACAGAGGAAGTTTAGAAGAAACTCTGTAATAGAGTAACTTAATTACTTTTGAAAACTCTCTGAAGTTCCATTTTTTCAGTGACTGGCTTATGCCTTGAAATGGAATGACTTGCATACATGCTTAAAATAAATGTGTTTCCTATTACTATTTCCAGATTGCTGACTTCTAGCTTCAGCCAATAAAACAACATACTGGTAATTTCATGTTTTGGTCAAAACAAAATTGTATAAAAATAATACTTAAAAGGCATGTTAAAACATTGTTTTAATAATCTATTCTAATCTTTAATGATCCTTTTTATTTAGTATAACCATCCTTTTGAAGATGATTTACTTGTTTCCATGGAAACTCTCACTTACTATACGCCTGATGGTAAGAACTTCTTAAAGCTTCAATATTTACGTGCTGCATGTTTAGACTTGGTGAAGCATGTAGCTGTTGGCAGTTATATAACAATTGCAATAGATACTGACTTTTGTCCAGTTAGGTATTGCATTTTGTATGTAAACTCTGATACACTCTAATACTCAATAAACTGGGGAGTTTATTTATATGCTCTGTTCTAGACAACAGAAAAGAGTTATTAGCAAAGTTGAGGATAACTGGTTAATATTTGGATGTCTTGTAAGAAGAAGAATCAAAATGGAGAAAACTGGGGAAACAATTGAATGGGGGTATTAGAAGGAAGTTGATATGCATGAATGGATTGTATAGTTTCATCTGCGCTTAGTATTCTGAAGGCTGCTCTGATAAATTTCTGTTATGTCAAATGTCAGAGTGGACTGGGTAGGTAGTCTTTTTAACTTCTCATTGAATGTTCATGTGGTTAGCGTAAATCTATACCACATTATCCAATGTCATATTTTCCCACTGTTTTATTACACTTGTCAATGCATTGTAGAGTTGATAATGCTTATGGAGAGCTTACTGGGGAAAAAAAATCTGTTGTTCTAAAATACATTGCCCAGGGTTTTAGTGGGACTTGTGACTTAGTATCTTGGTGGCTTTACTGGGAAATGAAAGGGTCCGCCAGTTTTTATCATCACTGAAGTGAGGGTTATGATATGTAAATTGCCATATCAATTCTCATGAAAAAGGACTTCCTGGACATATCCATGAAGTACTACCATGGTGTGAAGACCAATGCAGTTCTTGCACCAAATATTACTTACTTTTTTAAAGGCTTTTACAGACTGGGAAGTTTGCATTTTATAGCATTTTTTATACAAAAAATATAAGGGGGTGCAGGGGTGGCTTCTGTGAGAAGCTGCTAGAACCTTCCCCTGTGTCTAACAGAGCCGATGCCAGCCAGCTCCAGGACTGACTTGTCCTGGCTGCCAAGGCTGAACCCTTCAGTGACAGCGGTAGTGCCTCTGGGATAACATAGTTAAGAAGGGGAAAAAACAGCATGCAGCAATGGCAGCACGAGAGAAACAACTCTGCAAACATCAAGGCCAGTGCAGAAGGAGGGGCAGGAGGTGCTCCAGGTGCCGGAGCAGAGATTCTCCTCCAGCCCATGGTGAGGCCAGCTGTCCCCCTGCAGCCCATGGAGCCCCATAGTGGAGCAGATACCCACCTGCAGCCTGTGGAGGACCCCACTCCAGAGCTGGTGGATGCACCCAAAAGAGGCTGTGACTTTGTGGAAGGACCATGCTGGAGCAAAGCTGCTGCCAGGACCTGTGGGCCCATGGAGAAAGGGGCAGGTTTGTTGGCAGGACTTGTGACCCCGTGGAGGACCCATGTTGCAGCAGCCTGTTCCCAAGGACGGCACCTTGTGGAAAGGGCCCACGCTGGAGCAGTTTGTGAAGAACTGCAGCCTGTGGGAAGGGACTCATGCTGGAAACATTCATGGAGAACTGCCTCCCATGGGAGGGACCTCACTCTGGAGCAGCAAAAGTGTGTGAGGAGTCCTCCCTCTCAGGAGGAAGGAGCGTCAGAAACAATGTGTGACGAACTAATCGCAACCCCCACTCCCCGTCTCCCTGTGCCACTTGTGGGGCAGGAGGTAGGAAATTGTGAGTGAACTTGAGCCCAGGAAGAAGACAGGAGTGGAAGGGAAGGTGTTCTAAGATAAGGTTTTAGTTCTCATTATCCTACTCTGATTTGATTCGTAATAAATTAACTTAGTTTCCCCTAGTTGAGTCTCTTTTGCCCATGACTGTAATTGCTGAATGATCTCTCCCTGTCCTTATCTTGACCTACAAGCTTTTTGTTGTGTTTTCTCTCCCCTGTCCAGTTGAGAAGGAGAGTGATAGAGTAGCTTTGGGCACCTGCTGTGAAACCATGGTCAACCCACCACACATGTAGTCTGCATGCATTAAATAAAATTTAAAAAGTAGAATAATTTGCTTTTTTTTCCCCCCTCTTTGTAGCATCTGGGGCTCTTTGGATTTTAGCTCAGTGTGTTAGACTTGGCATGTGATTTTTTTTTTTTTTTTTTTTTTTGGCTGACTTCTCAATTAACTTGAAATTATAATATTTTCTTGGTTTGTTTTCCTGTGTTTGTTTCAGCAATTGTATTGGAGGCTGTTCAGATGCAATAATGTTTTGTTACTATGTAATATGTTTTTCCTAGATGTTTGTATTCCTTAGAATGATACTTGGTATAGATAATGTTATAAGAAAAGCTATATTTAAATTGATATCTTGTTATTTCTAGGACGAAAACAACAGGGGAAAGTGTCAAGCAAGAAACTTAGAAAATGGAAGAAGGAAGTATTTGAGGTATCTAATAACATAGTCATACTATGAAGTCAAAATGTAGCAATATTTCTTTTTTTAATATATAGGAATACATTCTAATCTTGCTGTGCCATATAATATTTGCAAGAGATACTAATCAATGAAGTCAACATCTGCTTTAAAATAGGGTTTTAGGATATATTGGTTAAGACTGTTGGATGAGATAGACTAAAATAGATGACCATTTACCAGTGGTTAGCAGCACTGGTAAACCTGGAAAAATTTTTTTTAAATGTTCTCTGATGGGGAAACATACTTTTGGATCTCATCAGAATATTGCCATTGAAGTTAAAATGCATTAAATCAATTTATCTTGGTTCGGGTAATCAGCTTTTCAGTTCCAAAGGGCTTACCGGTTTCATCTTTAGATTTTTTTTTCTTCCTGTAAAATAGTGCTAGAGTAATTAAAGTATCTTTGTGGTCTCAGCACTTGCTGTCTGTGTCAGGCTAAAGCCATTACTGTCATGGGCATATGATCTGTATTTTTTTATTCTGAGTATTTACATTAAACAAGCAGTCGCTTCTTTTTCCATTTCCTAAACTCACCCATAAGAACTCAACAGTGAATTTCATCAAAATCTCAGTGCTTCTCACAGTTATGTGAGGTGTCACACAGATGTCAAAAGTCATCTTGCTGCTGCATTCCTAATATCTGTCAAAAAAGTTAAATTGTGTAGTGTGCCTTGGTAGTTAACACAGAAGCTGTTCTGAACCCCATCAACTGAGGGGATGAGCAGTTAAATTCAGTCTTGGGGAACAAGAGTGGATTTAATGGAGACAGAAAAGGGGCTGTATTTCCCTTTCCTTTTCCACTCCTGGTAATACTTGTGCATCATCTACTAAGCATTGCTGCACAACTTTACAGACTAAATCCATTAAGGACTGTAAGAGGAATTCTCTGTCTTAACTTCATACGTGGGCCAAGGTAACTATAGCTTATGTTTTTGTAGTGATTTTAACAGCAATGGTATGTCAAGAAGTGAATGATCAAGTAAGTTTTATGATGTATTTGTGGCTTTTCTGGTCAGGCCATGGGAAACCTGAGGGAAACTGAATGGTTATTTAAGAAATGCCTAGTTGTGAGATATACCAAAGTAAAGGCAATGGTTAAAATAACTTTACTATTCTAACATTCTTCTTACTTTTTTTTTTCCTATTTCGAATTGCAGTGTAATAAAAGAAGTCAAATGAATGCAGGTAAAGTGTTTGTGTGCTATAAATTATCTTATTCAAAGAGTCTTGACTTAATAGTTGTCCTGGTTTTATGCCAAGCTCTTTAGGACACACTGTTTTTTGTGTGGGGCACCACCCAAAAAAACAACAATGCTTATGTTCAGAAAGATTCGAAAATGTAGTCTAAAATGTTTAAGATGAGTAAATACATTCTAATTGATGTTGCTATCATCACAAGTTGATTAAAAATAATCTCCCCTTATCAGTTAGACAGTAAGCTTTTATTTTTTTATTTGATGGTTTTGTCAGATGTTCACTGAATAAAGATTCCAACCTTGACTTACACGGGTGTACAAGTGGAGAAATTTGGAATTTGCTAGTGTTTTGAAAATAACTAGATAAGTACACATATTAAAAACGCGTGTTAAAAGAATCTCATGAAGTAGCATGATGAGCTATCAAAAATTTAGCAGATTATTCTATATACTGAATGAATCATGCTGCCTGTAGGAAAAAGTGGTATATACTTATTTCATTAGAGATCAAGTATCATGACTGAAGTAAAATCAAGACTGTACGTCGAAGTTTAATTCTGATACTGCTTAGGGAAGTGTATGATATCTGGAGATTTTCTCATTGTTCTGAAAAGGAGCTGTATGTTCTAATAAAATATATGTTTTTACTGGGATAAATGATGGGGGAAATTATGTTGTGTAGTACAGCAAAGGTATGTTGGGCTTTATTTTCTTAAGGTTTTGAGGTGGGTTTTTTGGTGTTGCATATTTTATGACATTCATCTGAGAAACTTTTATGCTGAACATCTGAGGACAAAACAACCTCTGTCTCTCTCCCTCTACAATCCTACCAAAAAATTTGTCCATACAGGGTTCAGGTATAGACTTTGAATCAGCTCATGAAATTAAAATGTTGTGCTGGGAAAAGAGGCTCTGATACAAAAAGATTCAGATGGTCCAGACCTTAGCCTCTAAGGCTTAGGAAATATATGCTGATGGGTATGAATAGTACAAAAAATTATTGGCAACCATCTGCAGTAAAACTTGGGGGGGGAAAATAGCAGTTAGGTTTTTTTTTTTAAAAGATAATGTATTTGGAATCTTTACAAATAATTTTTTGTTAATCTTTGTGTTTTGACCTAAGGTCTGAATGCCTTAGAAGTTCTTATTGGAGGAATTTACTTGGAGTTTCTTTAATGCTACAGAGGCTTGATCAAATTATTTTAAATTTAGTGTACTGCATTCCAGATAAGGAAAAAATTGACAAATTTCTTATTTTTTCCAACTTTTAATGTAACTTGAGCAAAGTCTTTATTAAGTTATGTTTTTAAGTTATCCTAGGGAAGAAATAGTTAACTAAATATTGAAGATGGGGCAATAGCACTACTGTTAACAGCTTTTGTTATAGGGAAAAGCATGCATTTACAGATTTGTATTTATATGTGTATATTTATATATGCTATGAAAGACAATCTCATGGATTTTGTTCAATTTAAACAAATCGTATCTTGCACTTGCAACACAAAAGTCCATGGGTAAGCATTTGAACTGCATGGTCGTCATTAGTGTTACCCTTAAAAAAAAAAAAAATTTTTTTTTTAAACCTCACCAAAAAAACCCCAAAAAACAACAGCAACCAAAAAAAGCTTCTGGCTATGGATTATTAAAACTAATATACGAATTGTACTTATTCTTGTTCTATAATCTTACGTGGGCCTGATATGTGTTTTCAATTACGATGCATAAAGTCCTGTGCTATTAGGTGTGAACACTTAAAATATCTTTATAAGGCCCAAATACCTATTAATGAACCACTTCCCATTTTGAATTTTGTTATAATCTATTTTTACTATTTGGATAGAATGTCCAGTGTCCCTACGAAGTTTTACTGGGTAAAATGACAATCTTTTGAGTGTGTTTGGGTTTTTTTCTGTATATTGCAGTTCTGAGTATGGGACAACCAAGTATGTTAAATTTCAGTCTCCAGGAAGACCAATATTTGTGTCATGTATTAGCTACTTAAAATTCTTTCTTTCATTGAGAATTTTTTTTGAAACAAAATGCCTTCTGTGATATTTTGTAGATCTTGCTCAGTAAGGGATTTCAGTGGGACATTACTGTGTTATTCTGATTTCCTGTCTTCTCAATTCAGAAATGTTTGGAAAATGCTTTATTTGGCTTCTAAAAATGTGCATTGATGATATATTCTAAAGGAAGCATTACTGTAGTTTTTTTGCAAAATAGTGAACATAAATTTTTTTACAAGGTGAAGCCAGACCTTTTTAGTTATATAAGATGCTTCATTAACTTTATACGAGAGAATGGTATTGTAGTACTGTTTCCTACTGGTTGGAAAACTGTACTTAGAATAGTTATCAATGGTCTGTGTCCAAACTGAAGGGAAATATGAGGCATTTTTTCCAGGACTTGTCCTGAGCAAATTAATAGTTTATACTTTCATTAAGTAAATAGTAAAAGACATTAACTTAATTAACTCGCAGATGATACCAAGTAGGGATGACCACTGTGAAAGATGGTCTGACAAATTGGGGCTAAAACTTAAAAGTAACCTTTGTGTAATTTCATAAGGAGAAGGTCAAAATAATAGACTTACATAGGAATAATCAATTGCAGGAAGAGGCAATTTGGAAGGCTGGTTGAGCCAACCAAGAATGTCTTCTATTGTGAAAATAGCACACACTGTGCTAGAGGATATGCACAGGTGCCTAGTATGTAAAGCACACAAAACAGATTTTCTGCACTGTTCAACAGTGATAAAACTTGTGGTGGAGTGCTTTGTTTTGTATTCGATAGCAACTTGACTAGCTGGAGTGAGTCAGAAAAAGAAAAAAAATTACTAGAGCCAATGATGATAGGACTTAAATGGAGGGTAAAAATAAAAGACCAAAAGAGAGCCTCTAGGTTAAATATTAGAAAAGCTTTCTGTCCTGGTTTCAGCTAGGATAGAGTTGGTTTTCTTCACAGAAGCTGGTGTGAGGCTATGTTTTGGATTTGGGATGAGAAAATGTTGATAAAGTGCTGATGTTTTGGGTTGTTGCTAAGTAGTCAAGGACAGTCCAGCTTCTCATGGTGGCCTGCTAGCAAGAAGACTGGGGGTCCATGGTAAGCTGGGAGGGGACACAGCCAGGACAGCTGACCGAGACTGGCCAAAGAGATATTCCATACCATATGACATCATGGCCAGTACATAAACTGGAGTTACCCGGGGGGTGGAATCGCTGCTCAGGGACGGGCTATTGATCACCAGGTGGTGAGCAATTGCCATATCTTCTTCTTGTACATTCCTTTGTCAGTATTATTATTGTTGTTATCGTTGTTTCCTTCTCTCTTGCTGTCCTATTAAACTGTGTTTATCTCAACCCACAAGTTTTTTCCCAATTCTCTCCCGTGTCCCACTGGGGTGGAGGGAAAGGTGAGCGAGCGGCTGCATGGTGCTTAGTTGCCGGCTGGGGCTAAACCACGACACTTTCCAAATGTAAACATAAGGAAGTCCTTAAATACGTTTCTTAGAGATGATGGAGCTGCTTTTAAGAATGGGTTAGACTTCTCCTAAAGGTAAGTTAGGTGTAGTTGCTCCTGCTTTTAAATGGAAGATGGAATAGATGACATCTTTACATACCTTTCCATATGCTTTAAGCCTTTAGAAAACTGGAAATTTTTATATGTATGCTTGGTACTCTTAAATAATATAAAGTGTTTATAGGAGTAAATAATATGTGCCTGAGGTATGAGATAAGTTTTCTTACTATTTAACCAAAAAAAGTAAATCACTTGTGATATTTCACATTAATTTATCTGGAAACAGAAATGCAGAAAAGCAAGGACAACAAATGTGGCATTAAACAAACTTGTTTAAACAGAGTCTTGAGCAGGGTAGACATATCTGCTATATCTGCTAAAGGTATTATTTTCATTATTTGAGCCTGAGTCTATCACATACATCCAATCATGAGAAGTTCTACTACAGCATTGGTACCGGCAGGGTCATATGTTTGGAGATATAGATCTTCTTTTTTGGGAAAGATTAAATTTCTGTAAGTTATGCAGTATTAACAATAGATTTAGGCGATTATTTTTATATGAACATCATAGTCATATGCACCGTATACATATTTGGGAGGTTGTAGCTTGTTATAGATACCTTTTTTAAAATTTAACAAGACGATGGTTAGAAATGTAATTTTTTTCAGCGACATCAAAACAGTGTTCAGTATGAGTAATTTTAATAGCAATATACCTGGCTTAGAGGCTAATTGTTAAATAAGCATATGTGGAAGTGGCATTAATTTGAAGATAGCTACTTCTCTGTGGTTCTAATAGGTTTTGGGTTTTATTTAAATCCATTTGAGTTGGAATAGCTAATGAAGAATAAGTACAGATTGAAATGTAAAAAGGGGAGAGGTCTGCTAAATTAGACAGCTCTTGCACTCTTGATATTTCTTCTGCTTCTTGTGAATAAATGGGGGGGGGAACCACAAAGATTGTGGGTGGGTCTATCTGTGCAGGAAGACAGTTTTGGAAGGCCCCCTTGCCAAAAATCATTAAAAAGATGCAGTAGAGATTTGAGGCTCTACCCTCAGGCTTCAGGAGTAGTTAGTCGTCTTCTTATCCTTTTCAACATATGCCAAGAAAAATGCACAAAAAGTTTGCAGTTGTCTTCCTTTTCTACAAGTGATACCACCTGATAAAGGGGCAAATTTTATTTTCTGTGGTGCTTCATGGGTTAAGAAGAAAACATGTAATACGGTAGATGTACATGTCTGATCTGAATTAGTCTGCTGTATTTGACTACAATGTTCTGTCACTTGTATAATCTTTGTTTCAGTCCTATCTGCATTCTACATTTAAGTGTGTGTGTTTAAATATTTTTCAAAACAGAGTATATACAAATGAAGAATTAATGAGTTCAGGTACAACATTGATCTGTAACCTATCAAATTGAAATAGAACTATTTTTTTCCTCCCATGCATGCTAAGATATGTCAAAGCAACAGACCAGTGACTTTGAAGATGGTCATTTAACAATAAAACAGGTATGGGCACCACATTGTATCTTCTTTTGTAAAGTCTCTTTTGGAAAACATATTTATGTAGTCAAAAGCTAAGAAATTAATCATGAGCAGGTGGTCCTGTACCATAGCTATCAAGATAGCTATAACAGGTTAGAGCTACTAATTGCTGAATTAAATCACTTTATTCTCCTTAAATAAGTGCTTCTGAAAAAATAGAGGGCTTAAAGTATTTCACTACAGTTCTTCAAAATTCAGGTATCTTATTAAACAACTCTTTTCTATTTCCCCTCATGTAGTTCCCCACATATAGTTGCATTATTTTAGGAAAGATGTGTCCTTACTTACCAGATAACATGTTTGTGTAAAATTAAAATCTTCGTGTTCTGGTTAATGTTGATCATCTAGTACACTTCCCCTGATTGTTTCCTCCCCCGATAGTTTCTGTGTTCTGAGATGGTGATGAATTCAAGTTCTGGACTTCTCTATATGGTGGTCTAATACATTTTGTGATGGTGGATTCATGTAATTTTTTTACATATTTGACTATGTCCCTATTCATGTTGTTTTATGTGGTAAGGTTTACATATGGTTCATATAATTACATATCCTCCCTCCCATCGTGATATTTGGGGAATCAAATGATATCGGCCGTGGATTTCAGCTGAATTCTACTCTTCTTAAGTTTATTTAAAGGGAGACCAAGCAGTTGGAGATAGGCTTTAAACCATCAACTGTCTTTTTTTAGTTAAATAATATGTGTGTCTAACTTTAAATTATTATTTGTAAAGTCTGTGGTTGTCTAGAATAATTTCTTTCTACTCCTGATCTTTTAAGGAGAAAAAATTAATCACTTGAAGAGTGATATGGGCCGTCTCACTGGTCACTCTTATTTCTATGTTCTACATAGATGATAGTTAGAATTGTCTCACTTTACTGATGTCCTTTTAACCCACAACACACTAATTTTATGATTGAACTGGGCAGACTAGGTTTAGACTTTTTTAAAAAGAAAATCTGATGAATGTGGTGTCAGGTGTAGATTGTAAACATTTAGAAAAGGCTCCTTATCCATATAAATGAGATTTTTATGCAACTACCTACAAAATAGCAAAAAATTTGAAATATTGTATATAGATTGTTTGAAGTAGGCAGTTAATAATTGTTTAAAGTGGGCAGTTAAGAAACTTTCCATATACACTGGAGCACAGAGAAAATCCCCAGTACATACTGATAAAGATTTGGTGATTGGAATTAATCTGTCAACCGTGTTTTGCTCTTGTTGTATAATAGCTTCTCCTTGCATTATTTTTCTGAATATAGAAGGGCTGGGAATAAAATAGTTTTCCTCATTGACTAGTGAGATGTGAATCAAGACAAATTTGTGTATAGATTTGTTAATAAAGATGGTGTCATTTGGACATAGTTTGTGGAATATGACTGGGTTTGTTTCACTACCACCACCATCATGCCCCACCCAACCTCCTCAAAAAAAAAAAAAGTTGAACAAGTAGTGAGAGCAGAAAATTTAACAGACTAGTTAATAAAGTTTATACTACAAGGTCTTAAATTTCCTTTAATGTGTTTTTTTTTTTAAGGAATCTCCTGAGATCTCTCATGTGGATACATCTGACATAGGTGGGTTTTTTAATTTACTTTTTAGTTACCTTTTTTAACTTTTTGAAAATAAGTTTGCAAATAATTTTTTCTAATATAGTAGAAATACTTTTAATACGTGTTTTGTACCATTTCAGAAAGTAGAGAATAGGAATAACATGAGACTGAAGTACTGGTAGTACTATGAAATCAATATTCACATTCCTCTCTAAAATCTCAGTCCTGAATCTCTGATACGTTGGAAAGTCAATATGGAATATTTTCAATTGCCTTTTAATAAAGAAAGGAACAGTGAAATAAAAACTTTGGTGTAAGTGCAAGACATTTTATTAATAATTACAATATATACATTAATTTCTAGTGGTATGGATATTGCATTCAGCTGCAATAATAAGTCTTCAGTAGTTTTTGTAACAGTTCCGGCATCAGTCTTGTGGCCGTTTGCACCATTTTGGGTGGTTTGACCTTGTATTCCCAACTAATTACTTGATTGTATTATTTAGTGCTAACAATCTTTGACTGTTTTAAAAATATTTAAAACTTGTATTAGTCAAGATCTTTTGATTCTTGTGCATATAAAAACTTACTCTTTTGCAGAAATTAAACTATTGCTAGGTGGCAACCAGCATTTAATGATTAAAAGAGTAGTTGCAGCAAAATATGGTTAGCTGATGTTTGAATACTCTGGTCTAAATTAGGTGCTTCATACACATAGCTGTCTCCAAGGCAGATGAGTACCTCTCTGTTGAGGGGAAAATAGAAAACAGCAATCTGAAATTTGTCCTCCTATCATTTGAGAGGATAATTTCAAATATCTATTTGAATGATAATATCATTTCTGTAAATTTAGAAAATGTGGCTTTGTTTTTTTTCCCCAACCTGTGCAATGAAATACAGGAAACAAATTTCAGAGGCATCTTAGCTTAGCTTAGATGTGGCTTAGCTTCTATAAGTGTCCTTTGTGTCTTTTGCACTCATGGGATAAATGAGTGATGCAGCTCAGACTCTGGTATCTTCATAGCAGCATACAATAATATGATTATCCACTCCTCCTCCTTCTCTTATGAATGTTCTAGGAAGAGACTGGAGAGGATTTATAGCAGCTTCAGTGAGTCCCAGCTATCTCCAAATACAGTAAGACCTAGAAATTAGCTTCTTAGAGGTGTAGGATTGGATTCCTCGCTGAAAAATGGACTTCACCTAGGTGTTTGGGTTTTTTTAATATATAAAAGGTTAGCAATAGGGCATGCTAACTGTTAAGAAAAAAGTGTAGCTGCTTTAGGTTTGGCAGGCTTTTTCCATCTTTAGTATCGTCACACTTCTCATTGAAGGCAGCGTTTCTTCCAGGTATTATGCAGTGTTTTTGTTTTACAAGCACACAAAGCCAATCAATAACAGGTACAAATAAAGTGAAACAGCTCTCGCCTGTACCTGCATGTATTGGTCTGCACGTAATAGGGAAAATTATTAGGTCTCCCTTCTTTGGTTACACGGGAAGTAGCATGGCAAAGTATAGTAATAGTTGAACAATTTCTTATATCTATTAGGATAGTATCAGAGAAAAATGAATTTATTTGGAGAGAAAGGGGAAAGTTCAATCTGAACTGTATATTTATCTAAGTGTATTTAAGTTTAGAAGTTCACATTAAAGTCAAAACTTAAAATTTACAATAACCCCCTTATTAACATGTTCATTTTTTAAGTAAGATAAATCTTTTGGGTAATGATAGTATATTGAATGCATCTCCAGTGAAATTACTTCCTGTATTATAGGTCAAATTTTCCAGAGAGAAAGGTGGGAGTTTTCATTTTTCCTCTCTTCTGCACTTGAGCAACAGAGGTGTTCCCGAATTTCCCTTTTGGCCCATAAAAACATTTTAAGGTTCCCTGGAGAAGATATTATACTTTGTTCTGTTCTGTGCTGTGACATGGTCCTCTGCTAATAATTCATGTTGGAGTCATTTGAAGTATGATTGACAATACATTGAAGACATACTACAATCACACTACACAGATCAATTCATTCTACGGTACAAGCTATTTTCCAATAATTTGTAATTGGCGTGAGGGAATCAACCATTCCTGGACACTGGAGTTGTTACCTTTATCTCAAGAACCTCCCATTTTTGTAGCAGTCTAGTCTGTTCATCTCAGCTACCATTTAGGGAGCACTCTGCCAGTTTTGTGCTTGATTCTACTGGAAGATGATGACTGTATGGCAGAAAGAGAGTATCAGCTGTTACAACAGAAATTCAAGGCTGAAACTTTTCTAGAGTCAAACATTAACATTCTTACTGGTTCCTTCACTATTCATGCTTAGTAAAGTGACCACAACTTTTTTTCCCACGTGACTAATGGAAGACAACTTTGATAATCTGACAGGCACAGGTTTCAGTTCTAATAAAATAATTTTGCTGGGATCAGGTAGACTGTCAAAGGCAACCCTCTGATTGCTCAACATTTTCACTGGAAGATGCAAAATTGTGTTGTCTCCCACAAAGATAGTGTTTCTTTCATATGTATCATTATGTAAGCTTTATGGCAGCATCTCTCCACAGAGCTTTAGGTGATGATTGCACTGATAGGGAACAAAAAAAGATGATGGGATTAGCTGGAAAAGATTTTCATTCTGTTCTTAGTAATTTAAGAATAGTATGAAGAGGCAATGAAGTAGGTATCATAAACAAGATTATTTTCACTCGTTTTCCTTTTCAGGGCTATTCCTCTCCTCTTTAAACACAGTCATGGGACAAAGATTTAACAGCTAGTAAAATTCAGAAATCAGGGCTTACAAGACATGTTTTATGATCATGAAAGACTGAGGCTTTAGCTAATAATGAATTGGAAACTGTGGCTACATCTAAGCAAAGAAATGTTTTGTTCACAGAAATACCCATAAAATACCTAAAAATTGAGTTGGAAGATTTGGATTTAATTTTTTATTATTCTCAAGTCTGTCCTATTTCTCACCCTGGCAGTTTGAAGGCAGTCTTAACAATAAAATTAAGAAAAGGAAGCATGGTAGAAGGTCTTTATTATCTTTGGGATATTTGGGAATGCAGTGGGAAACAAGTGGGAATTATACATTAATGAATAGTGAATCTTGCAGAGAGTGTTCTGAAAATATTTTAGTCTCTGAAATTATTAGCATAAATCTTGAAATGGTTACAAACAAGTTGTCATCACTCTTCTGTGTTCCCTTCAAGTCATTTATGAACCTATAAACCATGCTTTTCAACTGGACTTGAAGAGGAAGTACAATACAGATAAAAAGTTTTGGTGTAGAAAACCGTTTTCTAAAATGAAACCAGTTTAGTCAATAAGTTATATAGTGTGTGCTTAAAAATATTTCCTTTCTGGTTTTGTGTTCAACTAGATTTTTATGTAGTATTTACCTTCAAATTGTAGATGGAGAAAGTGATGATGATGTGGTTTCGGTAAGAAGAAAATTTGAAGACATTCACTTCCAGGTAAAAATTTCTGGTGTCTAATGCAGTGGAATAATTTTGTGTTCAACAGAAATGATTGAACTATTTGAATAACTTGCATGTGCCTGATGAGTTGATGCACTGTCAGCAGAAGACTCTGTGTAGACTTAATGCACATTTTCAGTAAGCATAGCAAATGAGAGGTTCAATAAATAATGTCATGAAGACCAATATAAAGTAATATGTCTTGGTATTATTAGCATACCAGAGTAAGTGGATTGCATAGAACAGACAACCCCAAGAAAGGCTATTATAGGTATAGAAAAAAAATAACCAGATTAATCGCAAAGTGAAAACACTTATAAAAACATAATCATTCACTTGAAAGTTTAGCATAACAGGTAACATGACTTTAAAAAAAAAAAGTAAATCTGAAATAATGGCTACCATAACAAAAACAGACTGTAATCTTCTGCTGTGTTTTCCCAAACTAGACTATGGGTATCAGGACTACCCGGGGTAGTTACATTGCTGAAGAAAAATTACACACACACGTGTATGCAGCCATTCTAATCCCGTGTTCTGCTTGCTCAAATACAATTACAAAAAAATTTATTTACTTTCCTTATTTGTTTAGCACAGTGCTAGGCATTGTCATGTCTCTGACAATAGCTAATACAAACTGCTTCAGAAAGCAAGAGTTTCACTAATGAAAAACATTTGCCATTTATCACCAAATGCTTTTAGATATTGCTGAGATGCATTACAGTGAAGAACTTAATTTGTATGTTAATTCATGGGATGTTAATAACACATGTAAAGATTTCAAGCTGTACTTACCAGTGCTTTATAACCAAACACTAGGAGGTTTTTTTCTTTTTTTAAAATCAGTAGGTATTCTGAGGCAGTGTGTGCTTTTCCCTGCGTCAATAAACTAGCTAGTTATCTCTTCTTATCTCTTCTTATATGTCTTCATATACAGGTCCTTCTTGGGATTTTTTTTTTTACCTAAAACATACACATTAAAAATAAGTTTATGTTGTTTGGATATCCTCATCTGAATAATACTAGTTTGAAACAAATCTGCGTAATATGTTTGGGTTTGTCAGTGTCAGTAACTTTTATGTGTCTTAATTTCTTTTTCCCCTCTAAGAATCTGCCTGTAGATGATGGGAAAATTCAAGAGAAAGTAAAAGTTCCAGTGGATGTGATAGTACAAGATTTTGCTAGAAAAATTCCAAAGTGGATTATGGTAACATATTTCTCCTGTTCTAAGTTATTAGCTAATTAGAATAAAAGAACTCTAACTGTACAGCACAATGAATTCTAATATTTCTCTGCTGTTCTGTCACTGTTCCTCTCCTGCTTGCTGTCTACATAAATATCATAGTATCTCAGGTCTCTGACAGCAATGATTTGTGAGAAACAGAGCAGACAATATCTTTTTTTTTTATACTTTGTTCTTTGAACCCTGATGTGCAAGTTGATCTTCAGTAAGTTTTCTGAAAAGCCTAAATTTGATGTCTGTAGAGAATAAAAGGAGTTTTAGCTTTATTTTGGTTTTGGGGGTAACGGGGATTGGGAGTGAAGGGTTATGTTACATGTACAACTTTTGTTTCCTACTGGAGTTGCCAGAGATCTATAGATTATCCAGGTGCGTATATATCCATGTATAAATTCTCATATTTGGACAAGGGATTAAAATATGATACGTAATGTAGAAGTTGCGAAGATGGTAAACAGCTTTCCAAGGTTAAACTGGTAACTTAAAATTTCTTACTGAAGTCTTAGACTAGACTTTTTCCTCCTTGTCTGAAATTTACTAAGTCCCTTAGGACCATAATTCTGTACAGGACCTAGTATAGTGAGGAGAGAGAAGGAGGAGTCACAGTAGGGTTTTGTTGTTACCTTTAACATGCAAAAAATTCAGGATATTAGACTCTGTGTCTTTTTCCTTTGCTTTTTCAGGTATCACCTCAAGGTTTGTCAGAAGGTCTTCATTTAGCTTCGCCAGTGCAAGAACTGATTGGTACTACCAAATCTTTTTGGTGTTGGTCAAATATGTTAGTTACAAAATGTGGTTTTTATTAAAATTTATTCAAAATAAATACTTAATTTATTGAAAACACAGAGTCACTATTTATCCAACAGAAAATTTCATTAGGCTGAATTCTTGAAGAGAAGTTAGACATGATTTAGCTTATGGCAAAATCTATTTGAAAAGCAGACAATAGATAGCTTGTATACATAAAACCAGCTTTTCTTAAATAGCCCCAGGAATAAAATGCATAGTTACAAAATTCAGCAACATTAAGCTCAATTAAATGAAAGCATAATTTTTTGGTTCTACTTGTTTTAAATTCAAGGAATGTAATGAAGGGTTTTGGATCTTTTGGTAACTGGTACTCAAGTGGTATTTCACTAGTAAACTTTCTTCAGAAGCTCTCCAGACTTGATGCAAACCTAAGGTAGAATGTTGGTGTAAATATTTCAAGCCTAACAACTACAAAAAGCTTTATCTTCATCATGTTTTATGGCAAGCAAAGCTGCATGGTTACTAGTAAAGTACAAAGCTTTCAAGTAATATGGAAATAGAGTAACAAATCCTGGGCAGAAATCGCAAAGACCAAAGCAGTCTGCCTCTACAATGAAAATATTTTATATCTATATATTTTAAATTTTTTTTTCCAACACATTTCATTTGTCTTCTATAGTCTGTCAATTCAATATGGTCAGGAAAAATGTTTGAATTTTTTCCTAATGGATTGTATGTTAATCATCCATTTAACCTGGCAAAAAAGCTTAATGAAATGTGCTATTACAGTAAGGCTACCCGTACTGCATGCAATTGTTTCTAAGTAGTGTAGTACATTACTAAAAGTGCCCTAATTGTTTTCAGTTTTTTTTCTTCTGGTTTTATTTTGTGATTCATTTGTGTTTTTTGAATAGGCAACCAAGCAGATGTTTGCAGAAAGAAAGTAGAGTTGCCAAATGAATGTTCTTCATCCAGACCTCTACAGTTACAATTTTCTGGTGTTCCTATTTCACCAAATACAATAACTGTACACAAGCATCTACCTTCTCCAGAACTGAATAAAACTTGCTATGATAGTATCTTGGAAGAATACCATTCTGCAGATGAGGAATGCTCCTGGAGCAATGTAACTCTTGCAGACTTGTATCCAGCGATGGTAGAGATGCTTACAAAGCTCATGACAAAGCAGGCTCAAAGGAAAGTGATAAAATACATGTTTGGACACTTAAGGCACAGAAGACGGCATTCTAGAAGACCAAAGCTCAATGTCACTGTAGACAAATTAAGAGGGTTCAGACCTCTTAAACTGAAGCAAGCACTACCCAGTGTATGCAGCAGTAGAAGTGAAGACATCCAAAATCAAACTTTTGGAAAAGAGAATAGAGAACTTTGTGATGATGAGTGTTCCATTAATCATTTATCTGGTTTGGTACCTTATTCTTACATTGATACAAATGAAATCAAAGTGGACTATATTGACTCAAGTTTAGAACATCATTTGGTATCTGGAAAAGGCCAAAAAGTCTCCAAACAGACTGGTTTTCCTAATGTTGTGGCTAGAATGGGAAAGACCTTTGTAGTTGAAGATGAGTTACAGACTACTGTCTCGCCGAAGAATTTGGAATACAAAGAAAGTGAAAAATCATCTTACAAATGTTCCTCAGAATACCATTTTAGAACATCTACTGCCAGTTCAGGGTCAACAGCGCTTTATCTGGTAAAAGAGAATAAAACTCAAAAAATTGACTTTCCTTGCAGTGATAACTTAGAGTTCTGTTCATCTACTTGCAATTCCTATGGCAACAGTAACAGTTTTACACCTGTCACAAATTGTTCTTTTACAAAAGCATCAAATACTTTGCTCATAAATCCTGAAAAAATAATTTCTGGAACACAAATTTCTCGCCAGCACCAACACTTATTTTCCTCATTGTCTATGAAGCAGACTCCTTCAAAGATTCCCCAGAAATATGAAGATGAGTTTGAAGAACTCTACTACAAACTGTGTTGCGAAGAAATCCAAAAGCCTTTGACATTGACAAGACCTCTTTCAAATTCACAGAACCTTGAAGATAAAAGGATACTAGTGAAGAGTAATTTAAATGATTCTGTGAGGTTCGAAACAGAGTATGATAGAGAATTTGACAGGATCTATGAGCAATTGTGTAGTGAGGCTGTTCCAAGACTTCATGGGTTTCAGAGTGCTTCAAATGTAAGGAAATATGAAGGAATACAGATGTCTGAAACTGTAAATGCTCTTGTTAACTCACCTGTTCGAACTTTATCTGCAATTCCCGGAGTTAAAAGACTAGGAAATTTTCAAAATGATCTTTGTTCACCAGTAAAGCGACTGAAAAATACAACAGAACATTATTTTCCTTCAGCAAAATACCAACAGATTTCTCACAGAAAAAATGTCAATCATCAGACAGTTGGCATGGATTTTTTGAGCACATACAATGGCAGTAACCCCAGTTTTTTCAACAGTCACAGCTGTCAGAGTCAGGTACTTAAGGGCATTGTGAAAAAAAAAAATTTACTGTGCACTCCTTGCTGTTACTTGGAGAAGAGCTTAAAAAATTGATTAGGGCTGGAAGCTCTTTCAACTAGTGACAGCATACTTCTCATGCTATTTGATCAGTAGGGTTGTTTATAGGCTTAGGGTTTTTATTTGCCAAAATAGAAGTTGCATCAGGTCTTCTGGATCATGTGAGGAAACTCACTATGTTTAATAACCTTGAAAATGGTTATAAAATGCTTGATAAAAGATTTTGTTACATTTTAATAGACTGTCACTGGTTAAAATCTCAAACAGTGACCCTATTAATTAAGGTGATATCATTCTGAAATTACTCTTTTTTTTTTTAATTAATTTCATAGATGGGCAAGGTGTGGCAAACAAACATTACTGGGTTACTTTGGAATCACTAGACTTGTGAATTTAAATTTTAAATCAGGCCCTTATTTCCAAGTTCCCAGTCATTTCTTCTGGGAACTATGAAATATTTCAAGCTATCAAATAATATGTGAGTTTTTCCATCAATGTAATCTGTTGATGCTTTATTTTCAGGACTCTAGATTTCATGCTTCTCCAGATAAAACTTTTATTGGTATTTCTGCTACTTCCCTGCAAGGTTAGTTTCAGAGACTTTGAGTTACTACTTTAGCCATCACAAGCCCTTCTTCAAAGGGTAAATCTACACATCTCAATAGACCACTGTCTAGGCTCTTCTTCCTCAGTAAAAATTGGATATGTTTAAGTGTTCCTTTAAGTAAGGAATCTGTACAGAAAAGGGTTTCCTGAATCACATGTTAACAGCTATTTAAGAAGCTTTTCTGTAGGTGAACTAGGACTTTTCTTACTAAAGTGTTGCTTATTATCAGCTGGTTTTCCCTCTTTTTTTTATTTAATTTTATTCAAAGTTTACTGTTGCTTTTACTTTCTGTATGTAAATGTTCCGCAGGAAATGCATAGTTTGTTAATCCTGCACTTGAATAACCAAATGCTTTTGTATGAATTCTTTAGCTTTACAAAAACTTGCAACTGAGTTGTTGCATGGCTACTGTCACCTGCTTAGGTGAATTAAATTATTGATCTGGATAAAAAGACTCTTGCTAATTCAAGACAGTAGAATTCTATTATTTAAAAAAAAAAAAAAAACCAAACAAACAAAAATAAAACAAACAACAAAAAAAACTACGTTAGTTTAACATTTTAGATGCTGATCTTTTAATTCCCTTTTAAAAATCTGGTTTTGGCTAAAGAACGTTTATAACATAACCTGAACTTTTTTTCCCCACTAAGTAAAATCATCAATGTTTATTTTCCGTATTTTATTTTTATGAACCTTGTCATCAAGATAACTAATTAACATGTAAAGGAAAATACTGAAGAAGGCGACCTGAAATGTTGTCAACTGGTATACAGGAAGAAAATGGCAGAAGAAATGCATTTGTTTTGGGTGGTTCTTGCCTTGTTGCATTTTCATTACTGATTAATTGTAAAGAATTTTATTATTTGAGGTGGACTTATCCCTTCTGCCTTATTTTGCTTTCCTCACATATTAACTCATACCTTATGTATTATATTTTTTTCTGGTATCAACAGTTTCTTCTAGTTCTACCTTTTTCTAATGTTGATAAATTATAAGCATTTTGAAGAAACCTAGCTTATACTTAAATATATTTGGTGTATCAAATGTATTTGAAATTAAGTTTTGCCAGAACCTTTTGCATTAGAATATTTTCATAAGGAAATTTGCTCATTGAAATATGCCAGTGAAGTATTATCAATGTCTTAACAGGCTAATATTTTAACAACACACTATAGTGTCCGTGCTACTCAGTGTTGTTCTTACCCTTTTTATACTACCATCTTTCAGCACCATCATCTGGGATTGCAGATGCTTGCTCTGGTTGGCCTAGAGCAATGAAGAATTACAGCTGTCCTGGAAATGCACAGAAGTGTCACCAAAGGTAAGTGCCTTTTTTCAAAAGAACTTTTAAAAGAAATTCTTGCTGCTCTTCATCCATATTAAAGGTATGGAGGTTGTTGCTTACATACGTACTTCTAGAATGAAAATCAGCATGGATACTTGAGAGCGCCCAGACTAATCAAACCTTTAGACTTGAACACTGGGAGGCAAGTGTCTGTGAACAAAACTATTCAGACTCTAGCATGGATGCCCAGTGAACACAAGAAGTTAGTAAGATGGTTTAACTGAATAGCTACTCTAGTCCTTATTTTGTGTTCATTATAGAGGCATTTGTTATTTTTGGATAAAACTATAGAATTGTTTTGATTCTGGCTGTGTGTTTGAGCTAACAAGTCCTCTCAGAGCCATAGGCTGTGGAGAGTACCATTTAAAAGGATGTTCAAAAGTTAGCGACTGTGCAGATGGGCATAGTTACCTGCATTTTGTCTCTGTGTAAACAAGCAGTGGCTCCGGAAGATACCCGAGATCCTCTCCTCCTGCTGTTACCACTATTGGCAGTGTATTTAGATCCCTGGAAGGAGAACATTCCTTCCAGCTCCCTGAATACTGGCCTACTACATCTGCTTTTTTTAGAATATGTGACTTCTAGGATTGTTGTGGTTTAACCCCAGCCAGCAACAAATCCCCACATAGTCACTGGCTCACTCCCCACCAGTGGGATAGGGGAGAGAATCAGAAGAGTAAAAGTGAGAAAACTAGCAGGTTGAGATAAAGACAGTTTTAGTGGGTAAAGCAAAAGCTGTACACACAAGCAGAGCGAAACAAGGAATGCATTCGCCACTTCCCATTGGCAGGCAGGTGCTCAGACATCTCCAGGTAAGCAAGGCTCCATCCCACGGAACAGTTACTTGGGAAGACAAATGCCATCACTGAACATGTCTTCCCGCCCCTTCCTTCTTCCCCCAACTTTATATACTGCGCATGACATCATATGGTATGCCATATCCCTTTGGCCAGCCTAGGTCAGCTGTCCTGGCTGTGTCCCCTCCCAGCTTCCTGTGCACTCCCTGCCTTGTCGCTGACAGGCCAGCATGAGAAGCTGGACAGTCCTTGACTGCTCAGCAACTACTAAAAATAGTGTGTTATCAATGGGTTTTTTTATTCCCAATCCAAACCACAGCACAGCTATCGGGAAGAAAATTAACTCTATCCCAGCTGAAACCAGGACAAAAAGATTCTCAAGTTTCAAATATCCTGGATTTCTAATTACAAACTAACTTCATAAGCAGCAGGATTAAAAAACATTAAGTTCTCTGAACAGTTTCTCTCTCTTTTTATTTTCCAAAACATTTTTGACATGTTTTTTTGTGCCAAAAGTCTAATTTAGCACTGCAAGATCTGCTGCTTGTCCAAATTCAGTCAAGAAATATTTTTACTATGCTTGAGATGATCATACAGCTGATATAAAAATTTTTCTGACAATGTTGTAATTAAAATTTCAAAGGAAGCCTGAATGCATTTTCAAACTACTTGTATGGAGAACTTAGCTGGAAAAGAGGCTGTGTGATTTAAAGAAAAAAGTTTGTTTAATCAAAGATGGAATTAATACCTAGAGACTTGTATTACAAATACAATCTTTATCAATATCATTATGTATTCGGATTATTTTTGATATAATGGAAGACTGGAGGCAAGCTGATGGGTATACAAGGATTGTATGTGTGTAATGTTGAGTATGCCCACTTAGCTGAGTAAATTTCTGCTCAGTTCTTGAATTCCATCTTTTTTTTTCTTGTTTCTTTTTCCTGACTCTATTAAAAATTGCCCTCTCTATGAGATTAGTAATTGTTTTGAAGGAAAATGTTTTCCTTGCATTAATGCATGTACAGTAGAGATGTTTGAGAAACAGTAGAAAATTAGGATTTCACAGAAGTCCTTTCTTGTCAAGCCATCTGGAATAAAATCTATTTCTTCATTCCTTAATTAAACAAATGCATGTTTGCTGACTTGTAGCCAAAATGGACTGTCAGCTGGCAAGCTTCCTTAAGCCTGTGGTCTGATATTCTTAGCCTTCTATGGTTCCCAAGAGTGAAGCTCTTTCATGGCTTCAGAGCCCTCAGAAGTTCTCTGCCTAAGTCATGTGGCAAAATGCTGTACATTGTAATGAATGGTTGTGGAAAGAAAAGGAATATTATCTTTCTGTCTGAAACTTGATTGCCTTTACCTAGATGATGATTATAAAAGGCATTTCAGAAAAGGAAATGTTCATAACTAATAAACTTTTCTTAGCTCTGTGTGAATGCAGTCCTACAGCTGTACTGCTATACTTAATTGTCAGATGTAAAACAAAATAGTTTAAAATAGATGTAAAAAAAAAAGCCATTTCTTACGTAATATGCAAGGAAATAATTGTATTCTCAGCTGTATCTTTAATTTTTAGTTATTTGTGAATATATTCAAAGATGACATCTCAAAGTTTAATAGATATTTATATAATTTAGGTTAATGTAGTATGATTACTGGGACATTAAAATGGTACAGGATGAAAAATTTCCTCTCCAGCTGAAAGCACATAGGGATGCAGACAAGGAGTCCTGCTGCTGTTCACAGTCAAGATGTTCAGATATCTTGCTTTGGTGATTTGTTTCAATTTCATTCTGTTCATCAGAGTTTCAGCATGCATATTATTTTTGTGTAATTTACTTTACCATCTAAACAGTTCTTTTCTGTAGGGTATCCAGAAAACTAAGCTACACTGACAAAGACCAAAATCCTAGCAATCCCTTGGACGACTTCCAGGTCAAAACTCACCAAGGAGCATTCATGGACTGCTACAGAGAAAACATTGTTTTATAAAGTTCTGGTTTATTGTTTGTTGTTCTTCCAAGGATATATACAATTAGTCCTGATTTATACTTCCCTGTAATATAAATCTTCAGGAACTGGTTCATCTCTTCTGACAGGGCACTTCTTACTCCTTTGGCTTCATCAGGTATTGCAGGGAATCAGTGTTCCTTTCTATGGCTAAGTTTGAATTATGTACTTAGTAGTGTTTATAATAACAGAATGGCATCTGTATTATCTTTTCATCTGCTGATAAGCTTTGATTCCTAACATATTAGTAATAACATTAAGTAACAAGCTTTTAAGTAAGTAACAAGTATTAAATGAAAGAAAGAATCTAAACTGGGCTGGATGATCCAAATACAGTATTACAGCAGGCATATTACAAGTCATAGCATATGTATTTTTAATGTTAAATTTGCTAAGTAGCTCACCAAAGTTGATTGTTCAATAAAGTTTTGTAATTTTAGTGGATTTGATAGTTAAATTCTGTGTTCTGACAAAATTCTACCGAACACGGTATATATTCTAAATAAAAACATATTCTGAAAAAATACCTGCTTTCAACACTTTATTCCAGGTATGTCAATTCTCAGGAGGAATTGGTATACATACAGAAAATACATGAGAATGATGTGGCAGGGTCCCACAGGTTTTCTTTGCTGCGTTTTTTCTTGGTAATAAGGTTGTTTTAGTGGTGTCAGGTCAAGCACGCTCTGTTTTATCAGCATTGCCCCTTGTCATTTTTCTGAGCTCCAGAAAAGGAAAAAAAATTTTTTTTTTTTTTGCTTTATTTCATATCTGGGCACATAGGAGTTCTTTGTGTTATTTTTAGCTCTTAAAACCAAGATCTTGTTATCTTAAGTGGTGTTACTGAATGGAACAAGAAGCCAGCCATTTTCAGTGAGGTTTACTCTGCAAGAAGACAATAACTTCTGCAATACACACACACATTCTATCCTTCATCATTTGTATATTATGTTTCCTTCAACAACAGCAACAAAAGATTGTCTTTTAGAAATGCTTTTGTGGATCATTTTTCTTCCTGTTCCGGACATGGATGAAAGGTAGGGAATACACTTTATGAACTACCTTCCCCTTGGAACTGTTAAGTATTTCCCAGTGTTTCTTGATACACCAGTACTGAGAGATTACACAACTCCATTAATGTTTTCTGTTCTAAAGTAATTTAAAGGTAAACTAGAATTGCATTTTGGACATGTTCTGACTCTAGATAAGACTTCTATACAGCAACCTGAATGCAGGCTTAGCCAGGTAGGAAGGTAAGTTTAAATAAACAACATAGTAATAGTTCATTGTCTCCATGAAAATTACTTCAAAAGAATTTTAAGATGTAGTTCTTGAAAAAACCTTGAGGTGCTGGAAGATAAGCTCATCCCAATGCCACCTTTTTGGTGCTAGCAGTAGAAAAAAATGAAAGTTGCACAATTACTTTAGAGTTTGATCCTCCAACATCTGTTTGAGTCGGCAGACTCTTAAAAGTATTATATAACCAAAAGTCTGTGCTGTTTTTCCCAACAATACTGCTTAAACAGATGCATCTGCAGTGATTGTCAGATGCTATAATGACTATCGGAGTATACCTGTTCTAGACCCTCAAAGATTTCATGGTGCTACTTGATCTCCTTCTGTTTTGAGCTCTGTTCTTCTTCCCTTCCAAACAGTTTTTCTTCCACCAGATTTCCTCTTGTTTACTCTTTCTTCACTGTTCCATTCAACTGATACTTGAATGCTAAGCTTACTGTTAATAAAAACAGCTTCACACTGCTTCCCTTGGCTTCAAAATCTTTGTAAAGAACACTGGAAAAACAGGCTAGGTTACTGAGACAGTATAAACCTAGACCTAGCGTCTCCTTGTCTTACTTTGTTGTAAGTAGTTGAAATTTCCTTTATATATAAAGAATTTAACTAATATGTGGTAGTTTATGTAGGTCTTTCTCTAATGGCTTGAAGATGGAACGATGTTGAATATGCTCTTTCATGTAAGAATTCAGTAGTCATTTGAAAACTATCTCAAAAAGTTAAAAAACAAAAAAAAAAGTCATTCAGTTGCTTATTTAAGCAGACAGAGGGTAAAGAGTTGGAGGAGTAAAGCTAAATCTGGACTGTGGTAGCATTAGAAGTGCCTTGTAAAATGTAAAGATGATCCTGAAATGGGGTCTGTGAGAGTAGTGGTGAATAATGTAATGGAAGCGGTGATTACATGTGGAAAGGAAGTGTATATATTGAAGGAGAATATTTGCAAAAGTGCCCTTTTAGCAAGTTATGTTGCAAGGGAAAGCAGCTCCTGAAAATTGGTGTAAATAAATAGCTGGAGTAAACAATGAAGACTAAAAACACAGAGAAAACTAGATGTACATAAATCCTATGAAGTAGACTTATTGTTACATGCACAGTCAATGACAGAAGTGTGTACTTCATTTCCATTAAATTAATGATCAAGCTGAAATGACAGGTTGAATTTAGGTAACTCATAGAAGTTCCCCTGACTTTGGAATTTTTAGAGGAAAGTCATAACGAAGATTGCAAATGCTGTGAGAAAATTGGGAAATAGCAGCTTTTGTACAAAGTGTACGTACACGATACAGCATTCCTTGTTTCACGCGTATGTTGGAAAATAGTAACAAATAGGCTCTTGGGCTTGTGCTTATTTGCTTGAGAGGTTAAGAAAGCTTTCTCTTTTAATCATCTGAGAGGGCTGAGTATTGTGTACGACTGGTACCAGATAAATTTAAACATTTTATATAAGTATTTTACATATTAATGGTATTCAAACAATTTTGATATGTGAGTCTAAGCAAGAGTATGTCAATGAGTATTTTATTACTTATTTTGTTCCTAATATGGAACAAAGTATAATTCCTTCCAATTAAATTAAATTAGTACTTCATGCACTGGTATCTTGGGGTTTGGCTTTGGATCTTTTGCTTTGGATTTGCTTTCTTCTTTTCCCCTCTTAGGATCTTAGTCAAGGTTGTCATTTAATATGGTTCTCCATCAAAAAGGTTTTCATCAGTTCTTCAACAGTGTTTATTTTTGCTTATCCAATGGTAGTTGGCCTAAGACTGTGATAATACAGTCACTTTAATTCCAAGTCTACCTTGTTTCTGGGATGTAACAGCCAAACATATATTGACCTATTTATGCACATAAAAGCAAGTGCTAGCACAAGACAGACAGTGACACTGGGCAGCTTTGGCTGTGGGGATTGGCCCCTTGCTTTTGGTCTAGCATAGAAGTTAAGGCATGTTAAAGAGGCTCATTAACTATGAGCTAAACTAAACATGAACCAGGCTGTCAAAGAGCTGTTTCTTTTACACTAATTTTTTTCTTCAAAAATTTGTCCCATCTCTGGACATGTCCATCTGCTGCTTTTTGATGAGGTATTAGCTCTTTGTACTATGGGCTTTTTGTTTGTTTTGTTTTTTGTAACTACTTTCAGGGCTATCTCCTTCAGGACCTGAAAAAATTGCAGGGCTCCAAATGTGCTTGAGAGTTTCAAGCTCTTTGACACTGTGCTTTGCGTGGATTTTAAAGGCATTAATATCCTTCTTTTGAGAAGGCAGAACTGTCCGACACCTAGAGGTAGGTATATTAGATCAACATGCCTTACTGTTTTCTGATACTACTACTTAATGACACTCAAAATATAAAAAAATCCCCACTTTATAAAAGCTTAGAGTCTAATGAGTTTAAAGTCTTAAGATGAATGTGTGCACAGTATGTGAATTATTTGGGGAAATAAAAAGCTCTTTCTACTTTTGTAAAACAGTTGGTAATAACCCAGTAGGAATTTAAGCATCACATAGAATATTAGAAGGAAAAAATCCTCCCTAGGAGATTTATTGTTACAGATCATTTGCCAGTATCTTTGTGGAATCTTGAATCGGGCTGGATACAACATTACATTAGTAGAGGAGTTGAGATTTGAGATGTATTCTGGTATTGCTCACAGAAGGACACTAAAGAAGGATATTGTTAAATCTTGCGAGGTATACAATTACTACTTTAAACAAACTGTTAAATTATTCTGCAATTAACTTCAGATATATTGTATTATTACTATAGACCAGTCACAGTGGGAAAGTACACAACGTTGAACAGCAGATCAGTTTTTAATTGGGAAAACAACTACATCATTAATTGTGCGAGTATGAAACATGATTTCCTTCTAAAAGTACTGTTAAAACCTGTATAGAAGAATAGTTATACTCTGCTAGAGCTCTGTAGACAACAGAGTGGGTCCTTTGGGACTATCTGAAAGTTGATGGTTGTCGTAAAGGATTAATTTTTACTAGAATCAATTCCATGTGAATGCTGACATACTGGCTTCTAAACTCCCTTTCAAAATGTCTTCAGGCAGTCAGGGCCTTCAAACTGGCAGTTTGGATCTTATTTCTTGCTTGGTCTTAGTCTTAGTAAATGTGCTTGGAAGGCACTTTGGAATGCTTAACTTACCCATTTTATACCTTTGTTTGGCATGTCAGTTTGCCAGGATCTTATCTCTAATCATTCACTGCTCCTCCAGAGCAAACAAGCAGATCTCAATTTATGACTATGTATTTGGTTTGTGAAGCCACTTCAAATGTTCTCTCCTTTTGTAGTATGAATCAAACCCATTAATCTGATGGGATCATCGTGAATGGCTTCTACATTTTCTGTGTTTTCAGCAGCCAGCTGCTCACTATTAAGGTAAATGCTGACTTTGGAAGCCATCACGGTGGGGTTAGATGATCTTTCTTCCTCACCCTCCTCTAATGAAGAGTCTTTCTTTCTCCTCGGTTTTCTGCGTTTTCCCTTGATGCTGTGATCAAGTGAGGCATAACACATCTGATTGGCAGACTCCACCTAGAAGGAAATTCACTGTATAGTTAACATTCAGTAGTTATGCTTGCTTTAACATTATGTCTAAGACTTTGAGTATGTCTACACTGTAATCATCGTAGTGGCTGAAGTTTACCCAAACTAGCTGTAAATGAACTCATTAAAAGTACAAATGATTAAGCTGTGGCAGCACAGAAAACAGACCAACATAAGGTAATGGTAAACGACTCATGTTCTTAGGATAGTGGCAGTAAGGAAAAATTCATCAAGGTATTATTGGAAAGATTCTCTATGGGAATGAGGGCAGCTTTTATAATCAGTCCAAGTTCTTTGGGATGCAAGACATTATTTGATCTGGTTTTCTTCCTACTTTTTTTTTTTAATTAGTATCCAGTTGTTAGCAACAACATTTTTTACAGGCTTTGCCTGTGCAGAAAACCAAAGATGGGTGATTCTTGTCTGTATATATAATCTCATTTCCAGTGTAAAATGTATGCTTTGAATGTCTTTGCCCTGTCCCTCTCTTTTTTCAAGCTAAATTGTCAAGCACTTTTGACAATCTTCATAGATTATTCTGTTTCTGTGAAGTTAATGAAAACAAATATATTTCTACCCCCTGGAAGTTTCCTGGGAGAGGCTGGAAATCAACTCAGGAAATTTGATGCTAGGAATGCTTCAATTACAGACAAATTTCAGTTGAAGCTTGCATGTTATTAGGCACCCAAGTATCTCAATAAAGTACAAATCAATAGAAAAACAGTCGTCTTTCATTTGTTAAGGCAGATAGATTTTGTGCTGGGCATGAGAGCACCAGTCATGATTATCTTGTGAGATGCATCTTGTGTTTTCACCTGTTTGATGTCCAAAATAAATAATATTTATTATTTACACAAGCCATAGCAGTACATGCAGGCTTAATTCAGCCTGATCTGCGTGCCCGTGACTGAACTTTATCATGCCATATGGATGGAAATGAGCTGTCTATAATTCTCCTGCTCCCTCAGTAATGTCCCAGATTGAATAAAGGGTCAAGTCTGTGCTTAAATTCCCTGATGAACTGAGACACTAATGCATGGTAACTTTTGTGATGAGCAGTGTAAAGATTTTTGTTGTATGTTGTCATGGTATAAACACAAGAAGTCTGAGACAGACCACATTACCCTAATTTCAGAAACCCAGAATTAAAATTAAAGATACCTGTAGTTGGTTAACTGGCGTTTGAGGCTGGGACTTCATCTGCTCGTAACAACATTCCTCTATAATTTATCAAAGTAGAAAAATTTTAGTTAAGACACACTACTGAGTCTTAAAAGGTCAGATCAACAGATCCTCCCTGTTGCAGAACAAGTTTACTTTGGCAGAAGTTTGTTTTGTTTCGAAATCATGCACAGATCTCTTCCTCTATTTATAGAGGGGCAAACAGTGAAGAAATTCAGACACACACAGTGTGAACATGAAAATAATTTTCTGTTCATATGGATAGGAAGTTTCTCATTATTCACGAAGTCGGCATTCTCTTAGACTGCTGGGAGAATATCTTGTAATTCGGGGGTAACCACATACTGATGTATTTTTCAGCATAGGCAATCTTTGCTTTGGCTGAGAAAGAGGCTGTGAGTTGCAGCAGCTCAATAATGCAGAATTAATGCAGAATAAATTCTATTCCTGACTCCACTTCCAGCTTTCTGTAAATTTGGTGCGAGTTATTTTCTCATTTCTAGCCATCAGTAAAACAGATTACTTCCTCACAGTTTTCAGGCTTTGGTATTGTCAGTGCATTTGAGTGTTAGTTTAGTTAAATTTATGCAAACCCTACATGAAAAAGTTGAGTACTTTAGTTCAGTTTTACTTAACCCCGAATAAGGCTAGCAAAAAAATTGTGTTCATGTTACTTAAATACTGCTTTAACGCTATAAGGGCTTTGAGAGAGATACCTCAGCATATCTAGTTCTAGCTACTGTTATGTCATGTTACTGCCTTTAATGTTGTATCTCTCTGACAAGGATTGTTAACTTCAGTTCAGTAAAGCAGAAGAAAGCTGTGTCTGCCCACTATTCAGCCACTGGGCTTGTTTCAGCATATTTGTCAACATCTCAGATGATCTGTGGATAGCCACAGCAGAGAACTGGTATGGCTTCTGCCAGCTTCTGTGGGAGCATTGACTTTGGGCAGTGAGTAATAGGTGTCTTAGATTGCTTTAAAGCACATTGATGAAGCTGTTATTTCAATTGGTGAGATTTACATGTAGAAAAGCTCTTGTTTTTGAGAGATTTGGCTGAACAGGACCATTTTGACTGTAAAAATCAAATTCAGTATGAGATCTGATCTTACAAATAGTAGTACAGTATGACAGTTTGCAGTTCTATCCCAAGTAAGTATTAACACAACAACTGAAAAGGGGTAGATTCTCAGGTTTGCTATTTCAGAAACACAGAAAGTGTTGTCAGTCAGCTTTTAACCATACATTTATTATAGCCTCTGAACAGACACATGTTCTTGAAGTGAGGCTTACCTAAAATATCTTGGTTGAGATTGCCATAAACTGGGTCATCTTCCATGTAATAGTCATCACAGCTAGAAAGGGAATGAAAAATTACTTTTAATTCACAGAATATGCTTTATTTAGGACACTACCATTCTACTCTAAGCATTTTACACACATATAACAATAGCAGATTGTACATCATCTAAAAAACAATACAAAAATTGTCGGTGTAGGGCAGAAATACCAGTTTTGCAGAAGGGAAAGAAATGGCAATGTCATATTCTGAAGAGATATTTGTTATCTAGCCAAGAATTTAACTCTTCCTTCCTGTAACTTAGTTAAGTATAAAGTTAATCTCAAGACTCTACTAAGCTACTGTTTGATATAGTTACAGAAATATTAATGATCACTGAAAGGAACCCAGTTCATGTCATCTGAGACCACTTCACAATACAAACTAACGCACTAAATGAGTCTTTTGGGGAGGTGTTCTTAAAAAGTCCACCCTTGATTCAACTGAAATACTTATGTCAATACAACTAGAGAAGACCAAAGCAATGTTCAGCTTTGGATATTTAATGGTATTCTGTGTTGCATTACCTGGTGTTGCTTGAAAATGTTTTTAAGCATGTTTGTAAATATGGAAATTGTTATTGGGAAGCACTGTGTAACCTTGTTCCTATTGCACCCCTGTACTGTGCCTCGTCAAGGGAATGAAGTAATGCAATCTAACACCACTTTTTCAGTGGTTTTTTTTTTCCAGCTGAACAGGCAGTAATAGACAGAGAATTCCCAACTTCAAGTAAATTTGTAATTGAGGATTGGTTTTGGGGAACAGGTGAAGGCTTTTTTATTTCCAGGGCCTTTTATATTTGGGTTGAGATGAGACTTTTTCCATCTCTGTTTTCTAAAGTATTAGGGTTTGGGGGGGGAATATGGAATAAGAGAAACAGAGTTGTAACAGATCATGAGCTATGCAGTAGCTGTAAACAGGCTCCATTTTATGGCTTTTGAACGTCGTGTGTAAAAGAAGGGTATGAAATGTAAGTACACAGAAATTGTTGCTCCACAAGTATTAAATATCAGACTATAATTTATCGTTTTCTGAGAGTTCTTTTTAATTATTATAGATTTATTGAGTTTGAGTGATAGTAAATAGTGTTTTAGCTCAATATTTTGCACTTCCTTCAGTATATAAAATTATCATATTAGTATGCAGTTATTTCTTTGTTGACAAAATGACTGGAATACATCTCTCCCATGTGAAATATTTTCCCTGTTTTCTTTGGAAACCTTTTTTTCCATAACCCACCTGTTCTCTGACATTTCCAGGCAGGCTACATGAGATAGTTCCTCTGCCATCCCTCCAAAGCCATCTCTTATTATTTATTGCTTATTTCATCCTTGACAGAAAAAAACCTTTTTTTATCCAACTTACCTTCGACTGTTCTCTTCATACTCTTTATACATTTTAGCTGGAAAATTTGTTTAAAAAAAAAAAAGTTAAAAGAAAATTAAACATGCTATTTTAGAACACTTCAGATAGTTGTCAATTAACTGACATGCTTTTGATTTCACTGTAGACAGTAAAATTGAAAGCTCGTGGTTCTCAGGACTTTCAATTGTCCCCCTGCTGTTCTCAGATACTTTTGACTAACACAAGAAATGCTTGTGTTATGACTCCATGCTTTGGCTTTAAAGTCTAAAAAATGTACTTTAACACGTGCAATTAATTCCTTGTTTCCTCCTCCTGCTTCTACCTCATCTTTTTCTCTGCCTAGGGAGGTCCATCATGTGTTTATATTACAAGGTGAAGGGTTCACTTATTTTACTAAATCTGTTGCATGTATCTCTGAAACAGAGATCCCGTGATCCACACAGATGAAGAAATTGAGGCAGAGGCAATAGCTACAAAGAGATTTATTGCTAGAACTTGCTTAATAAATAGACTTCCTCCAGAATTTACCATGGTAAACCCCAATTCCATGAACAATGCAGCATTAGCCAATCTGACTGAAACTTTGCTCAAGGTTAGTTTTGTAAATGACTGATTTTTTTATCACAGAGGTATGTGCCTAGTCACTAGAAGACAAAATAAACCAAAAAGGCGCTCTCCCCATCCCGCAACACTCCAGCAGCTCTTTTAATATCCTGCAATAATCTAATTCTCTTATACTTGGTGAGTTCAGTTTATAAGCATAGGCCTTCTGTTTATGTAGATTATGTATGTATGTGTATTTAACGTGATTGAATCCACCAGGGTTTGCCTGCCCACACATACGGGTATAGCACAGGCACAGTTTCCCCTGTGTAAAGGCTGTTTTTCCCTGAATGGGAGTGGTGATGGTTGTACAACTTAATAACTATAGAATTGTGTACATAAGAGAGATTGCACTGGCATAATGAATTCTGTTTAAAAAGTCATAGTTAATTTTAACCAAAATCAGACTATGACTTTTGTCACCCTCAAACATTAATTAAACAAATCAGTTCCTTATTGTGAATGACACATTGGTTTAAGAGCTACATTAGGATCCCATGATGAAAAGCAATTAGAACTTTTTTCAAAATAAACTGATCAAGCATAAAATGTGTATGAAATCTGAAATTCAAATAAATGTTCAGGAATTTTGGGAGGAGAAAATTTTCTCAAATGTATTTTGTATTAGTGCAGCTACTTAAAATAATTTTTAAATTAAAGTACAAATGATAACGAGTTACATTAAAAGTACACTTAAAAGGATATTACAGATGTTAAAAATATACTTTAAAAATGAAAATTCTTCACCTTGTACACATTTTGCTGGTTTGTCTTCAGAAAATGGATTTAGGTAGTTGTTTTTAGCAGTGGATTGGGCAGCTAGCAGTCATTCTGTAATAATACCTGACTATCCTAAAAAAATTTAGAAGTTACATCCTCTCAACTAGAATCATTCTTGCCAAAAGATAACTTTAAGATTCAGAAGAATCAATTTGTTGACTTGAAATCTCCCAGCACTGATGTCTTTCTCTACAGACACTTTAAACACTCCAACTCCATTCCTTACAGAGAGGCAACATTACTTACCTCGCTTGTTTTTCATATAGTGTGAAATATTCAGTATCAACGAAACAACCAGAGCCAAACTCAGAAAGGCCAAAACTCCCCAGACAGAAAAATGGCAGTCCATTTCTGTAACTGAAAGAAAATAGTTCTATAGTTTGTGTTGCCTAACAGGTTTTCTTTGTGGCTGGCTGATTTTTGCTTTCTGTAATTCAGACTGCTGTTTTGTTGTTTACTCTGTGACATCCATTGCTATACTGGCTAAATAATTAATATCAAAACCAGATGCTAAATAATAAGAAAGCAACATCAATAAACTGTTAGCAGAACTACTGTTTCATAGCAATTCAGCCAAAGGTTGGGCTATTTGTTTGCCTCTAAAATGCAGTAAAAATAACAAATTGCTAAAGAAAAAAGGCATTTTTAGTGAATGGCTTTGAAATTATTTTTGTAATTGTCTTTAACTTACTAATTGCATTAAAATTTTGGCTAAATTCTAGAGTTCACGAATATAGTTCTGAAGACTAATTCTGTCAGAACAGCTTACTTTATTGGAAACACCTCTGAAAAATAGCTCAGATCGTCAAGTTATTACAGTCCCTGCAACAAATTTCAAAGGTTGGTTATGTGTTTTCTTGCATCTCCTATTAAAATGACTTATTTGACTCATATCCTCGCTCTCCTTCCTGAGAAAGCAGAGGAAGTAGCAGCAAAGGATGAGCAGTAGCTGGGAACCTGTGAACCTCTCCCAAGAAGTACTGCAGGGAAAAACCCAAACAGCTGCTGAAGAATCACTTGGTAAAAGGTGGGTCAACTTAATGGAACAGAGCTTCCCTTTGCCCTGAACTTGCCTCTCTTTGGACTCCTGTTAGAAACACAGGAAGGAACACCCACACACTCCAAATGTGTGTCATTTAATTAATTTTTTGATTAACCTAGCTTACACAAATTTTCCATCACAAACCGTGCTGAAGAAAATAGCCTAGCTGTGACAGTCTAATGGCCAAAATGGTCGAACGTTGCTGCAAACAGCCGGTGAAACACTTCCTTGACAGAGGAAATACTAAGCCAAATACATGAGTGAAAGGAGCTGGAATCTAGATTTTTCACTTTCCCCAGAGGCATGTCTCATGTTGTTCTAGATTCGGAGCGTTTGAAATAAAGCCTCATCCAAAAAACTAATGAACTCCACTGATACCGCACAAAAAATTCTAGCTGGAGCAGAGCAGTCAAGGGGAGAGATGGGATGATACCGTCAAAGTGAGACTCAAGCAGGTCCATAATGCTCTTCCTTTTTGATGTAGCTGGATTCCTTTAGGAGGCTTACATTTTGTTTACTTCTTAAAGGAAGGCTGAGGTAAAGGAGTGCAGGAATACTCATTCCCATGTGGCCAGCCAGGGACAGTGAGGGGTAATGCATTTTCTCCTGCTGAGAAGACAGAATTCCTTGGCTGACTGGCTCCAGCTCACCTTAGGAGCTGCCCCTTATGGGTTTTGTTCCCTAATTATGCCGGTATTGCAAAAGCTCTTTTAGTTTTGTTTTATTTCAAGCCACAGATGTCTTTTATGATGGTGAAACAAGAGAGGATAATCCTTGGTAGTAAGAAAATCACAAATCACATGGGCTTCTATGATGCATGTTTCCTTCCTGATCAGAACTCTCTTTTAAAAGGAACAAATCAGAGCAAATAAGCTGATCTTTGACAGACTTGTAACTGGGTTTTGCACATGGTACTTCCAGTGGCCACTTATCCTTCCTTTTAAACGAAGCATCCAATTTCCATTCTTTTTTCCTACCTGAGTTCTCCCAAAGGTGTTTAAGGGTTCTTCATCACTGCAATACTACTTTTCATGTTGAGAGACACTTTGTTATAATGAGATACTGATATTCATGAGGAGAGACGACACTGCCGTGAAGCAGCTATATACTATTCCTATTTTTCAGAGTAGGAATTAAAAGAAAGGAAGATACCACCTTGAGAAAATGTTATCGGGCCACGTCCAGAACCACCAGTGTTTGGAACCTGGTTACTCTACAATTAGTGACTCAATCAAATTTGCATCCTGTGCAACCTGTCCAAAACTACAAGAAGTCTATGTCAAAGTCAAGAAGTTTTAAGTCTCAATGTAGTGCCTCAATAATAAGAATCATCCTTCCTTTTTCTCCTGCCCTTTTATCTTTACTGAACTGATTCCTTTCTGTTTTTCTGCTGTTCATCTCTTATTTCTTTTCCTACAAATTCTCTTTTTTTTAAGGGAGCAAAATCAGTATTGTGGCCTAAGAGACGGGAAGCACACATAACTGCGATAGAAACTATAGCCCTGTGATTCATTAGAATAAAAAGAGTGAGTAGATACCTCAAGTACAGCTGGCACCTGAGTTTGTATGTTTTTCTTGATAATGAATGCTGTCATTTATCTTTCTGATTCAGGGATCTTATTTTTCCCTAGTGTTTCCATAGCAGGAGGAAACCTCTTAGTTTAAAAACTGAATATTCAGTCCTTAAATGAAGTGAGGTAACCAAATTTTTGATGAGAAGTATTTTTTTCATGTTTCAGCTTCTGACTTAAATTGGAATTATTTTCTGGAGAACAGTAAAAATTGGAAAAAAGTTGTTTCCCTTTACAGTTTCAAGTTTCATTTCTATGGTATTTGAGCAATCCCACTTCTCTAGGACTGTAAAAATATTCTAGCAAAACAAAAGGCATAAAACTTGGCTTTCTAATAAAACATATGTGTTTTACACCTCACTATAGCTCTTTTAAACATGGTTTAGAAAACTGCATGGGTATAAGGAGATTAAGAAAACAACATTTAAATTTATTCCTAGCTGAACACTACTTAGTTTATTTTAAATTCATTTTCCACAACTCTGACTTAAACATCTGCTTGTGTTTCAGTAGAATGTATACAAACATGCATGTGACTTCAGTATCTTATTTTTAAATTTTTTGTCTTTGCAATATGAGCTATTTGTTTGTCGGATAGCACTACCTATATTTAAGAAAAAACAGCAGTTTTCATTTACCACATAAAACCATAGTGAAGGCCTTAGTCAGAAACATGTGAGTGCCACTCTGAGTGCTCTATGCTTTTCTAACATCAGTTTCCAGTTAATCTTACTGTCCAAATACAAAATATGAGAAATTTTGATTTTTTTTTTTTAATTTTAGTTTTACATATATGCAACTCCTAGCTCTTTCCTGGGTGTTCTTGTACTACCCTGATAGTTGTTGCCAATATGCTAGCTATCTACGTTTATGACTGCATTATTTAAATATTTACTACTTTGGCAACTGCAGCAGTAGAAGGAAAGTGTGAAGAACAATTTGTCTTTTCAGATAACTGCACAGCTGTCCCTATATGTATAATAGCAGATGCAGCCTGTGACAGCTAATCAGTTGTGCTAAAGACAAAAAAAAAAAAGGTGACTGGGTGGAGAATTAGAAATAAACAGAAAGAGAAGTCTATCATAGTAATTACAGTCTGTTCTGAAATAATATCTTTTATTCTGTTCTCTAATTCTAATTCTCATTAAAGTAATCTACTGTCAAATGTAGCTAAACCTGACTTATTATTTTTTTTTTTACATATTGTATATTCATTCCAAAGAACTCATAGCACTGTGTCCAGGGGCATTCACACTCAATTGCTGTCAAATTGAATATTTTTAAAAGTTTTGTTATATCTTTGGAAAAAAAAGTCCTAATGAAAAATTAGGCCCTGGGAATAGTACACTATGATTCTAATAGGATAAGCTCAAATTCTCTCACAGCTTTCTGCGATAGTCTATCTGTGATGGGAATAACCGAAGAGTGATAGTAGTTTGTTCATAAGAAAACATACTGAAGCTGTTCTTAAAGTAATGTGCTCCTCTGTGAAAGGAAGGAATTCATCGTATAGCCAAATTTTTCATGAGGAGGACAACAATTCTAATTTTATTTCTAGAAGAAGTTGGGATGTGTGAGTGGGTGAAGTACTATATTTAAACATTATAAAAATGACAGTGTTTTGAATACCTAATACTGGAATCTCTCTAGTTTTAATGATAGATTCCTATTTTGCTGTTCTTTCATTTCTATTTGGAAACAGAGTCAAAGTTGGAGTTGCATCCAAGTAGAACATTTTATCTTGGGTAAAATACTCCATCTGGATGAAGTTTTTACTTTTCTGACCTTAGGGATGGGGTTACTCACCTTAGTATATTTTACACTGCTATAAACTAAAGGTTCTGTATTCACACAACAAAATACTGGCAAACGAAAGACTTTCTAAAGACATAGTTAATGGTGCTTTTTCTTCTTTTTAAATCTATTGACAACTTTCTCCACCAACAGAGACAAGACATGGGAATAAATAGACTTTTGGTCACTTGTTTTCAGGTTTTCTCTTTGCAGGGTTCATTATACTGTAATTGGAGGGCAATGGCAGGGGAGAAGAAAACAAAAAAAAAAAAAAAAACAACCAAACCAAAGCCCCCAAAACATTCTAATCTTTCCTGGATGAATTTCTGCAATTCAATGTTATTGCAACTTAAAGGAGTGGACCTAATCATGTACTTAACTTTGGGGAAAGGGGACAGATACAACAATTTGGGGTTAGAAATAGATGTTTATCTTCCTAACAGCATAAGAATAGGTAGCAGAAGTACTAAGTTTCATTCCTTCTTGTGCTAATGTATTTTATTTAGAGAATCCATCACAAAGGGTAACAGGAAGATATCATACTTCTACTGGTTTTTCTTACTGAAAAGGAATACGAGGTGGAGAATGAAGATACCTGCCTAGCAAGAACTGGACATGCCATCTATAGTATCAACTCATCATTCATAGAAGCAGATTAATTAATTACTACTTAATCACTACCAGATTTAAGCAGTTTGTTTCCTGTTGTTTCTGTTTGCAGATTTGTCAAAGATGAGACAAAATTAGCTTCCCCCCCAATTAAATGGTATGATAAATAATATTCTGTACTAATGAATCTTAGAAAAAGAAACCCACTCATTAAGAGACTGATGAATGTTAAATTAATGTTAAAGATGTTTTCACCTGTGTGAGTTTTTAAGACAGGATTAATTCTCCAGAAAGGATTCCTTAAACTTCAATTAGTTAGTACACAACTAATTG